TTTTCTTCGCCGCGGCTGAGTTCGCCGGGGCTGCGGACTGGGGCTGCGGCCCGTCCGCCCCCCGGACGCGCCCCCCCTCCGCGTCCTTTTGCTCGAGCGGGAGCCGCATTTCGCGCTGGCGGCGGTTCTTCAGCGCTGCGGTGTTCGCCCCCTGGCGGCCCGGCTCGTCCGGCGCGTGGGGTTTGCGTCCTTCCCGGCCTCCGAGGAGGCGGCCCGGCTGCACCGGGGCCTCGCGCGGGTGCTGCCGTATCTTCAGACCTTCCTTTGCCGCCAGGCGCCGGGGCTGTACGGGATGGCCTACGACGCCCTCGCCGCGCGGCTTCGGTCGTTTCGCGTGGTGTTGGGCCGCGGCGGGGCCCTGCGGGAGGGGCTGTGGAGCGACGACGGCGCCTTCTACGCGCGATCGCGCGAGCCCCTCACGCTGGTCTACCTCGCGGCCCACAACAGCTTCTACGGCGAGGAGGGGGTCTACGCCCCGGCGGTCCTCGCGAGCGCCGCTGCGGCGATGCTGCTGCCGCTCGCCCCCTCCCCCGACCTCCGCGATGCGGTGGAGGCCGTCCTCGAGTCGCTGCTGCGGGCGGTCGCCGCGGACGAGCCCGGCGCGGAGGCCCTGAGGCGAAAAGCCCGGGCGATGGGGCTGCCGCGGTTTGACGAGTTCGTCGATTCCGCCGAGGCCGTCGCGCTGAGCGATCCCTCGTGGCGCGTGCCGTTCACCCTCTCGGCGGCCCCGTCGGGGCACTTCTACGCCGCCTTCCCCCCCGGCTGCGCGGACGTGGCGTGGGCCGCTGACGGGGGGAATCGCGCGCGCGAAGGGGGCGCGATCCGGCGGAGGATTCCCAGCGATCCGCCGAGGGCGCGGTCCGGCCCGTCGGGCGATCCCGCGCGAACGCGCCCGGGGGCGCGGATCGCCTGGGATGACCCCGATTATCTGGCCGAGATCGAATCCCCCACGGCCCCCGGGGCGACCTTCCACCCGTCCGAAGACGGCGACGACTTTTGCCCCCGGCGCCGTCGCGCGGACGACGGCGGGGCGGTCGGCGATGCCGTCGTCCGGGCCCCCACCGCGGGGGAAAACGGCGCAGACGACGCGGACGAGGCGGACGTGATTCATTTCGCCCCCGCCGCGCGAAAAAGAGGGCGGGAGCCCCCGGGGGCGCCTTCCTTCGCGCGCGGCGGCGAGGACGTCGAGGCCTACGCCACCGCCGCCGAGCGGTTTGTCTACCACGCGCTCAAAACCCAGTACGAAGGGGCCGAATCCCGCGCAGCGGCGGGGCCCTCGGTGGAGGTGGTGTGGGTGAACGAGCACGGCGAGAGCGGAAAGCCCTACGATATCGTCCTGCGCAACCGTGGCCCGTCTTTGGACCGGGCAAGCCGCCCTGGCGAACCGACGCCGTCGCCCGGCCTCTCCAACAGCGGCCTGCGCCGCTTCTACGACACCGCCGTTCGCGCGGAATCGCCCGCGAAGCCGA